TCTAAGATAGAAGATCTGTGAGGTTGGACATTTGTAGTATAGAGTAGTGTACAGCTTACAGGAGGAAACTTGAGTATCTTATTAAGAAAATCTGCAGTGTTTGGTAGAGTCAAACTGTAAGGCTTAACTTAGCACTCTTCTGACATGTGACTGAGGTGAAATTATAGTTATCAGACAACTGTATGAATTAAACTCTAGTGAGAGAGAATGAAAGAGGAGACAACCTACCCAAAGTCCATGGTGTCAACTGCAACAGACATATGTCTTGGTGATGTTGGACAGAAGTATTCATTGCCACCACTCAATGGTAGTAAGTCAATATCATGAAATATATAACAGTTGAAGTTATCCACTTTGCTTGCCTCGGTAAAACCAATGTTTAGTAATTTGGCTCGGTTAAAAAGTTTTTGATCTGCCTAGAATGGAAAAAAGATAGGTTAGCTGGAAGGTATAGTGGTGACAATGGCTGATTGATAATGTGATGATGGTGATACTGATAGTATTGATGATAATGGTGATGATGGTGATACTGATAGTATTGATGATAATGTGATGATGGTGATACTGATAGTATTGATGATAATGTGATGATGGTGATACTGATAGTATTGATGATAATGTGATGATGGTGATGCTGATAGTATTGATGATAATGGTGATGATGGTGATACTGATAGTATTGATGATAATGGTGATGCTGATAGTATTGATTGATGATAATGGTGACACTGATAGTATTGATGATAATGATGATGGTGATACTGATAGTATTGATGATAATGGTGATGATGATACTGATGACAGTATTGATGATAATGGTAATGACAGTATTGATGATAATGGTGATGATAGTATTGATGATAATGTGATGATAGTATTGATGATAATGGTGATGATAGTATTGATAATGGTGATGATAGTATTGATGATAATGGTGATGACGGCACCTGGTGATACTGATGATAGTATTGATGATAATGGTGACGATGGTGATACTAATAGTATTGATGATTGTATTGATGATTTTAGTGATAATGATAATGGATGATAGTATTGATGATAATGGTGATGATAGTGATAATGATAATTTAATGTTATCATCAAAGATTATACCTGTTCAATGATAAAAATTCTATAGTGAAATTCTTGTTTCTTCAGAAAAGGATGCATGTATTTTAGGAATATGCCTAGATGCGTGTAGCGATTGCGGAATGGTATTACAATAGCCACCTACAGTAGTTAAAAAGGAACCATTAATATAGGGTCCGGACGAGGTTAACAAATTATTGACCTTCTTGACATCAATTTCAAAAGGTTTTTATACCATATACCTTCTTATCGCCATGACAAGTACAATTTGCAGGTTGATACCATCCTCCTTTCTGAACAAACGTCAAGTTTTTTTCTAATTCTTTCATATTTACTTCAGAAAAATCCAATTCAAATAAATTACCTGAAATGATGGTAAACAATTACGCCTTGAAATGATCTGTTAGGTTTATTACACGTGACTGCTCCTTGCTACAGAAGTACATATTGTAGTAGGTTGGGTAACTTCCTTGTAAACAAGTTGTACTTGTGTACAATAAACTAAATGTAAGTAGAGTTTCACTTTCAGTTTGCTTGGGTCTCTTAAGTGCTTCTTGTGTTTAATTCTCTCTGGGTTTCCCTACCACATCTAAAACTAACCCTTTATATGCAGTTACGCCTCAGTCGTCGAGCACTTGTTTATATATTAAAGTTAATATTTGCAAGCTAAAATAAATCATAAATAAAAATCACTTCTCACCTATTGACTTTAATTTCGCTTCATAAAAGCTTCTCTGTTGTATGTACATGTATAAAGTTAGTAAAAAACACAATGTAGGCAGGAAATAAATACAAACATTGTGTGCACGTTGCAATTTCCTCATGTTTTATAAACTTTTATCATTCTTTTTTTATTTTTTTCAATTCTAAAACATATGGGTAGAATAGGATCACTGGATAATAATAGGTGATTTATTCGGATAATCAGGGAAAATATTACTAATACATCCATTATTACCCTCTACAATCCCTTGATATAGTATTTTATTCTTAAAATTCCTCCAAAGTCCTTATTTATTACCTCTTATCCCTTTAAACTACTGTCAATCACCTTTTATCCCTCTACATCACCATTTATCACATTTTACCCCCATAAAGTACTCTCTATCACATTTTACACCTTAAAAACACTATCTATCACATCCTATCCCTACAAATTCCATAAATATCATACTTTACACCTACAAAACACTATTTATCGTACTTTTCCCCTAAACTGTCATTATTTCAGTACACAAAACCATCTTCAATTATATATTCAATAATATTATATTAATACTTTATCTTTGAATTTAAATTACTACACCACAGCATGGTCCTGCCACTAGCTTGCCCTAGCTTAAAATAATTATTACATAATTTTCACATTTTTTTGAAATTAAAAAAATTAAAATATGCACGTATGATGACGTCATGTGACGTCAGGACTATGTTCCCGGATGTTAGTCTCCGAGTTTGAATCGCCGCCATTTTGACGGGTTAGTTTATAAGAAAGATAGTTAAATATTTGGCAAAGAGGTTCTACTACAAGTCGTTGAAAGTGCCTGACTACGTATTGGTTTGGATTATGCCACCACATGGCGAGGAGAACGAGTAATATAGTCGCTATCATCAAACGAAACCTGTAAAAAATAAAATAAAGAGAAATCTTTAGTTGTACTGTTATAGAAAGACAACGTCGTACCTAGGGCTAGGGTCGTCATTCTCGAGAAGCGAAGATGACTCGCTTCCCAAGAATGAAGACACTGGATAAGACGGACCCCTACGTTTGATTCCTCGAGCTCTAGTTGAGACATTGCCAACGATAGAGCTATCCAGTATAAATAAAGTTAGTTTAGTTTAGGTTTCCTCCGGTAGTAACACTGGATCAATAAGAGATGATTTTTACCGGACCTCTAGGAAGAACAGTTTAGAACTGATAGAGCTATCCAGTATAAATAAAGTTAGTTTAGTTTAGGTTTCCTCCTGTAGTAACACTGGGTCAATAAGAGATGATTTTTACCGGACCTCTAGGAAGAACAGTTTAGAACTGATAGAGCTATCCAGTATAAATAAAGTTAGTTTAGTTTACAAATTTTCGACCCACCTTGTCCTAGTCAATGGCGCTATTCCATGAACAATTAAAGTAAAAATACTAAACAATAATGTGACGACGGCTAGCACCACACTAAGAAATTTGGTTAAGACAGCTTTAGCTTGTATATTCTGTTCAAAATAATCATCAACATTCAATCCTTGCTGTTGCTGATGAACGTTCTCAATTTTGGAAATCTAGAAAACAAAATCAATAGATAGTTGTCAGTCAGTTAATAAGTTTGTATGTGTTTTATATGGCTGACACAAGGTTGTCAAATGTGATGGCATTTCTGGTGGTAAACACAAACTCATACGTACCCTTGCATCAAAAGTATCAAACGATTCATCAATTTCAGCTACTCGTTCAATAAGACGATAATCGACCGTGGCAATACTTTCGTCATTACGTTGAATATCTTGACGTAACTGCATGTTCTAAATATAAATATTAAACTAAATTGAACTAACTTTATTTACACTGGGCACACACGTAAAAACGCACAAGTTGTTACAGGTCTGTAAACAAATTGTTACAAATCTGTTCACAAGCTGTCGACAAGTTGTGTTCGTACTGCTTGTTCCCAGTTGTTGTAACAAGTTTGGAACAAGCTGTTAACAACTTGTAACAAGTTTGATGGCATTATCAGACTTGTTACAAGGTTGTTCTAACAAGTCTGGTACACTCATGATATAACAAGAATGTTACAAGGTTGATGACACAAGGTTGTAACAATATTGTTACGTCGATCATGACTGTATTGTTGGATCAACCTTGCAACAAGTCTGATAATATCAACAAGGTTACAAGTTGTTAACAGTTTGTTCCAAACTTGTTGACAACTTGGGACAAGCAGTGCGAACACAACTTGTTGACAGACTTGCTACAAGATGCGAGACTTTGCGTATATGTACTCGGAGAAAACCTGTGTTGTTTCGTAGAATCAAACAAGAAGCACGCCCCTCATACGTGAATAAGGAAAAATTCCTGGAATTAAATCCTGGTCACAGTGCATGCCACCTACCTCGTGTTGATGTAATTCTGAGAAATCATTCCAATGACTACGAAGTGTATTAAATTGACATTCTAAATCCTAGAACAACACAAAAGTTTTAATACGACGTTTAATACAAAATAGTACATACGGAAAAAATGTGAAAAATATTGGTAAATAATTCAATCACCTGCGTTTTATATCTTTCTTCTTGTAGAGATTTTGCAATGGCATTTATGTCAATCTACACAAAATAAAAAGTACAGCTATAGGAGAATAATACTAAGAACGCTATCGTACAGCACATGTTACCGGTAATTAACTAAATACAACCTCCCTAGGCTTGGGGGTGGGCCTAGGCCAGTGCCCAGGATCTCAGCGCAAAACCGTGTAGCACATGGCGTTCCATACAATACATCATAAAATATTTCTGTCTTACCACTGCCTTATCAACGGTCTCTTTTAACGCAATCTGGGCGTCTAGTACTTCCTTTAGTCTCGCTTCTAGAGCTTGTTCTGAGCCAGTTTCACTGTATCTCGACACAGATGTCGGAGCACTAAACATAAAAATACAATTACACTGAGTGATATGCAGGGCTGCTTGAATATGGAGTTCTGGCATTTGAAAAGTAAGTTCTTCCATTTGTAAAGGGAATTCTGGCATTTGAAAAGGGAGTTCTGGCATTTGAAAAACAAGCTCTGCCATTTGAAAAGGGAGTTCTGGCATTTGAAAAGGGAGTTCTGCCATTTGAAAAGGGAGTTCTGCCATTTGAAAAGGGAGTTCTGCCATTTGAAAAGGGAGTTCTGCCATTTGAAAAGGGAGTTCTGCAATTTGTAAAGGGAGTTCTGCCATTTGAAAAGGGATTTCTGCCATTTGAAAAGGGAGTTCTGCCATTTGAAAAGTGAGTTCTGCCATTTGAAAAGTGAGTTCTGCCATTTGAAAAGGGAGTTCTGCCATTTGAAAAGGGAGTTCTGCCATTTGAAAAGGGAGTTCTGCCATTTGAAAAGTGAGTTCTGCCATTTGAAAAGGGAGTTCTGCCATTTCAAAAGTGAGTTCTGCCATTTCAAAAGTGAGTTCTGCCATTTGAAAAGGGAGTTCTGCCATTTGAAAAGGGAGTTTTGCCTTTTGAAAAGGGAGTTCTGCCATTTGAAAAGGGAGTTCTGGCATCATTCAAAAGGCTTAAGTGTACCTTTAAAGATATAAATCAAGAATTACCTCGTTTGGTTGGTGGACGTTAAACTATAATTATCCTCTTCACTGAAGACATTCTTTGGACTAAACATAAAAATAGATAATATGTGAGCAAATAGAGTTCTTCGTTGGCATTTTGGTTTCCACTTTAGCCGACTTTCTAGTAGTACAGAATAGAGGTTCAAATTTCGACTACCGACCAATCACATGCATATATCTACCCAATTAACCAATCAAATTACGCCTGTGAAAGAAAGCGGTCGTCAGGGTCCTCAATATATATACCAAAACAATATAACCTACCTGGGAGTTCGGATTTTCCTGGCGTCATATCCGGTGAAAGACTCCAAATCATTGCCTTGCAGTTCTTGACATTCTGAGTCACTTTCTGCCAAAAATGCAAAAGAATGAAACTACTGTGGTCGGATCTTACTTTCCAGCAAAGACTACTTCACTCCTGACTAAAAACCCTTCGCAGAAAGTGTTTAAATCTTTTCAATGTAGTTTAGACACAAACTACAGCGTACATGCAGTCGCACGTTTTTACGATACTGTTGAGGACTTACTTGAGAAAGTATGAGTTGGATCTGTTATATTTTCGTTACTTTTATAAAATTTCGATACAGCACTAGAATAAAAATGTTTGTTTAATATGTAGATGACATAAAAGAGGTTAGTTTAGTTTAGGTTTCCTCCTGTAGTAACACTGGAATGATAATAAGAGATGATCCTTACAGGACCTCTAGGAAGAACAGTTTAGAACTGATAGAGCTATCCAGTATAAATAAAGTTAGTTTATTTTAGTTTTCCTCCTGCAGTAACACTGGATCAATAAGAGATGATCCTTACTGGACCTCTAGGAAGAACAGTTTAGAACTGATAGAGCTATCCAGTATAAATAATGTTAGTTTAGTTTAGGTTTCCTCCAGTAGTAACACTGGATGAATAAGAGATGATCCTTACTGGAACTCTAGGAAGAACAGTTTAGAACTGATAGAACTATCCAGTATATATATAAAATTAGTTCAGTTCAGTGCCTGATCGCAGGTTAACTTACCCGGAGAACCCAGCCTTGACACCGTCACGCACACCTCTAGATGGACACAAGAGTGAATATTAAACACAGAATATAATCTACTTACGCTAAACCCCCACGTATGTGAATAACAATTCATAATACAAAACCCATGCATTAGAAAGATAATGGAAATAAACCACACGGTTAATTTTGATTCTGTGCTGAGATTTAATATCATTATATTATTTTATCGTGTTGCTACTGAATAATTCCAGGGCTCAACAGTTAAAATGAAGTTAGTTCCATAAAGTTAGTTTTAATGAACATATCATACAATGAATACGATGAATATTGTATTCATTATATTCATACAATGAATACATCAATTTTTGTGAAGTTGCCGAATATATGAGATGGCAACTTCACAAAAATTGATGTATTCATTGTTTTCATTATTAATAGATCATCCATCGAGATGCATCGTTCATCTCCTCGGTCAAAAGTGGATCAGTGAGAGTTCGTGAGAGTTGCCAGTCACGTATTGTTACAGGGGACATTTCTAGCTCTAGATTAACAAAATAAAGGTTTGATGAATGTTCCAACTATGTTTTAACTTCAATATAATACATGATAGTGTTGGGAAAGCATTAAGAACAGCTAACCAAGCTCGCGTGACTGCAAACTCTCATGCACGCTCATCAGAACTGTCAGGAAAAATATCGATCAGGGATGTTTTGATCCCAGAACCCGTTGTCAGTATAGATGACGTTATTCTCGCTTGTGTTAGCACTAACGCTACGTTGACACTGTAAGCGGATAGCCTTCCATAGCTACGTGAAAAAACACCTATCCCTACCTTTTAAAAACGCTATTTTCAGCGGAATTATTGCAACGGAGAGATGTTGTTTCGCTCAGCCTCTCAAAGTTGTACATTCCGTATCGGATAGGCGCTTTTTCGCGCCGCTACGGAATTAGCTATCCGGTATAGTGGAAACCTGGCCTAAGACTGCTGATCGATCAGACATATGATGCACGTATCCTGATGTTACGTTTCTAGTCTAAATCTAACCGCCTCCAATCAACTTACAGCCAAAATTTCGGGGCTTCTCTTTGCGGCGGCAAGGAACGAATACGTTTTTGTAACCGTGGTCGTGGAGTCTTCGTATCACGCTCGCTAACACTTCGTCTTGAGCTCGTAATCCGAGGTGGAGAGCTTAGCTGTTTTGATAACATTACAATGACCAAGCAGAAACGTTCATTTCTGTCAATTTTTTTCTTCAAAAACGTCTAGCACTCGTTTTTCTCGTGCCGGTTTGTGATGTTATGAATATTCAACATAAATTATTGATGAGAATTGCCGCGAATAGCGGTGATAAACATATTGCAAATGCTAATTATGCCTAAATAAATGTTTCATGACTGACGTTGGCAAATAAACACGGAAAATGGACAGATGGCGAGTTGAAGCCACGAGATAAACCTTGGACTCACGGAGTTTATGACTCACGGAGTCATGTCCGGGTCACCCTGATGTGTTTTTGACGCAAATTGTTAACAGAAATTTTTGACTCTCGTTCGCTCAGCGGAAAATAGAAAGCTGACCCAGTCCCCTGGCAGCGTGCGAGAAAAAACACTCGCACGAACTCACCCTGAGAGTTCCTTCACGCTTGTTCGAACACCCCTAGAGTAGAGACGAAAGTTTTATTTTGAAAATTGTCTTGATAACAGAACTAAATTTGAACTTCATTTATACTGGATAGCTCTATCAGTTCTAAACTGTTCTTCCTAGAGGTCCAGTAAGGATCATCTCTTATTGATCCAGTGTTACTACAGGAGGAAACCTAAAACTAA